TTGTGTCAGTTGCACAATTCAATTAACTATGAAATATTTTTGGGACCTTGAGCTATTTCGACTCGAATGTGGAATAGTTTACAAGTGCATAACACACTTTTCTATTTATTTTATTTTTATTTAATAATTGAAAATACTGACAAGTACAAGGTCCAAGTGTACGAAGCTATACGCAATAAAAAATATTTTTCACGTTGCCATATATATTAATATTTATTATTATGAATGTATTTTTTTTTATATTTTTAAAATTTCAACTTACTCTAGATATTTTTTTTTAAATTCATTTAATGTAATTGTATTATAAAAATAATCATAATATTTTAATATTTCTATATTTATATATCATTCCTTAAATATAAAATATATTGTGAAAATATGAATTTGTAATTAATTTGGAGATTTGAATTTTATTTTATATCACATTTTTTTCAAGTTTTTGTTGTTTCTTCTTTTTTGTTTTAATTTTAATAACACATTTGTGCCATAGCCATGTTCTTCTAAATTGATCTGTAAATTTAAATACATTTTTGTGTAATATTTTATGAGTGATTAATATTTTATAAGAATTTATCATGCTACTAAATGATATTATTCATAACATAGAGAAAATGGTATTACCAAAAATAATAAAATTATTGAATATTGACAGGATGTTAGATTGTCATTATTTCTTTAATTTATTCAATTTTAATTTATCATTTTTCTAAATTTGAACTCTTGATTTTATTTTTGCCTCAAAGCTTTAGACCTATTACATATTTATTATAATACGTTTAATTCAGAGATTAAAAAAAAATATATATATTTAACACTACATCAGCCTAGGATTTGAAAAAACTGATTATGAACTTTCAAGCTTCAAAGTGGCACTTCTCGCCTGTCTTTTGGAGCTTTATTTGATTGATTGGTTTACGAGTATTTATAGTATTGTTTCTATTTTTGATACAAGTTCTTGATATTCAGAGAATGTTATAATTAATTTATAAATGAACATCTTACACGATTAGTATAGGTTGAAACATATTAGCAATATTTTTCTAAACGTTGAGTTGATTCCCAAATAGTGGTATAAACAATAAAAAACACAATAATTTGTAAATCAACCAATTTCTACGTTAAACTATTAAATATTTAAAACATAATAAAATTTGCTAAAATTAAATGATAATTTGAACATTTGTAGATATGTACATAAAAACAATTTTTATTGTCAGAAACAGATTTTTATTTTCAGAAATGTGTGTAACACAGTACAACATAATCATTTATACAAAGCTTATGAATATAATATAACGATATAAAACAAAACATAATTTAAAAAAAAAATTAATAAGAAATCTCTGTAAAACCTTTTTTTTCATATATTGAATTTTTCTTTCCCTCTCTCTTTTTCATTTTTTCTTAGTTAAGGGCGGATCCTGCTTTAGTGAAAATTCTTTTTTTTTTGCAAAAATGTTTTCCAAAACTAGCCAAAAATATATCCATAAAATTTCAGGAACAAATTAATTTTTTGATTTTATAAAAACTTTGACGCGCGATTTTTTGGTTTTGAATTTTTTTGATTCTTCCTAATTAGCGGGAAAGATAGGGAAAAAAACTAAACGTTCTATCAAAACGAGACAAAATTCATTGCATTCAGGATTAAATTCTATTTTAGTTGAACCTAAAGAAACACACAAGACTATAACTAACCTACTTTTTAAACAAACTAAAGTGATATTTTGTTCAAGTTACAAAAAATTGGAGAATTTCTCATATTTTTTTGGATTTTTCTATTTTAACTAGAGTCTATAGTATAGACTCTAGTTAAAATAGAAAAATCCAACAAAATACGAGAAATTCTCCAACTTTTTGTAGTATAGACTCCAGTATAGACTACTATTTGTTTTGATTTCCTACCAAATGACACCTGCATGCTCGTGGCGCATCGGCAAAAAGATTGTATCCGGCATATTATGGCATATATTTTAATGAAAAAAATTGAGAAGCATGTTGAAATAAATAACAAGAAAAATTCGTATCAATTAAATATTTATTTCTGTACCTAAAATTTCTCAAAAAGGTTATAATATCATTACTTAAATAATTATCATTAAAAACAAAACAAATGTCATTTTAGTTTATATATTTCACTGCTTATTTTATAACTTCAAATTTTAAGTAGACTTTACAATAATTTATAATGAGGGAATGCATCTATTCACACGTTGGCCAAGCTGTAGTCCAGATAGGGAACGCGACATGGGAACTTTACTGTCTTGAAGACGGTGTTGAACCGAATGGCATATTAGCTAATCCTAGTAAAAGATCGAATTGGCAGCAGACAGAATATAATGCTATATCCCATTCTTCAATGAAAGTGTCATTGGTCAATTGGTCCCAAGGAGCATTATGGTTGACCTGGAGCCAACGGCTATCGATGAAGTTTAGGTAGGAACCTATGAAAACCTTCTCAGAATAGATAACTTGATAACTGCTAAAGAAGATGCTGCCAGTCACTACGCTCGTGGTCACTATTCAATCGGAAGAGATGTCAAAAATGTTATGCTTTGCGTGCGCCGGCTCAACTGAACAATGTACATGTGTGCAAGGTTTCTTGTATTTCATTCATTTGGAGGTGGTACTGAATCTGGCTTTTCATCGTTGTTAATACAAAAACTCCCTGACACCTACCACAAGAAATGTAAGTTACAAGTAGCAGTATATCCAGCTCTGCAGGTGTCAACGGCTGTTGTAGAATCCCACCATGCCATTTAATCACACATGCAACTATTGCAGCAGCAGATGTAGCATTTATGGTTGATAACGAAGCTATTTATGATATTTGTCGGACCAAATTAGGAATTGAACGACCCCGCTACACTAATTTAAATCGTTTGATCAGTCAAGTGGTTTCATGAATTACTGCTTCTTTTTGTTTTTAATGGATAATTAAACGTCGATTTAGGTGAATTTCAGACAAATTTTGAACCGGTACCGAAAATTTACTTTTCTAGACTATGCATCAATTGTTTTAGTAAATGAATCTCAGTATGAAGTTTCAAGTGTCAACGAGATCACAATTCAATTGTTTAAGAATTTTAATCAAATGGTGAAATGCGATACAAAAAGAGAAGTAAATATATTGGTTGCTGTATGTTTATCGTGGAGATGTCGTGCCAAAAGATGAAAAAAGCTGTCATAACTATTCTTACAGAAAAAATGCATCATAAAATTTGTTGAATATACTATAGACTCTAGTTAAAAAAGAAAAAATCCAAAAAATATGACAAGTTCTCAAATTTTTTGTAGTATAGACTCCAGTATAGACTCTATACTATTGTTTTGATTTCCCACCAAATGACACCTGCATGCTCTGGCGCATCGGCCACGGCAAAAAGATTGTATCCGGCATATTATGGCATATATTTTAATGAAAAAAATTGAGAAGCATGTTGAAATAAATAACAAGAAAAATTCGTATCAATAAATATTTATTTCTGTACCTAAAATTTCTCAAAAAGG